CACCCATCGCCTCCGCCTCCACCCGTCTCCCCCGCACCCAAACCCTCGCCCCCGCACCCACCCGTCGCCTGCATACGTGGAGATTTTTTATATAATAAATGAAGATAAAACACCAAATTTGTAATAATTGACATACCTTAGGGATTAAATCTGTAATTTACTCTAAGTACTAACAAAGAGCCATCATGAAATGTTGTCATCAAATTATGTGAGGCTAATCCATCCTGATACACTTTTCAAATATTTAGAAATGAGGTTGTCCACACATTCTCAAGGCAATCAATCGTAGTTTTACATTCTGTCTAGTAAGTATAAATTCTCTTAGGTGGCATTTGGTTTCACATATTCCGAAAGAATCTGATAAATAACATTGTTAAATTTCTTTGACCAAATTTCATTCCTTATTTGATTCATTCTTTTTTATGAAAAGGAATCTCTAAAATCCATCAAATTCCACAATGAAGGATTTAAACATTCTAAGACATAAAGGTGGTATTTTGATGGAATGGAATGTTAATATTTAATAATTCCAAATATACTCTTAACCTCATTTATACCCTAACCTTTTCAAACAACCGACATCACAGGTTTGATTTCTATCTGCAGCTCTCGTCTTCTCCATTCCGAACCCTAATCTCTCGTCTCTCCATTGCGAACCTAATATCTCATCTTCTCTATTGCAAACCTTACTCCTAAACACTCACAATCCGACGCCCGATTATGGATTATGTAATTCTTACACATTGTTCTTCCAAAACCCTATTAAGAATTTCCCACCTCAACACCAACTGCTACACTCACTTCAATCATGCCATTAGGACTCGTGCGCCGATAAATTGCAAAAGTTATGAAGTTGAGGTTTCTGTTTCCGAGCATCGTCATCTTTCTTCGTTCAAATTCTCCGATGAGAAAGAATTAGATGTCGCCACCCTTGGAAACCTATGCGTTGACACCGTGCTTAACATCCCCAAATTATCACCTTCTTCCTTCGATGAACAATAAGATGACATGAAACAACTTTCTAAATCGCTTCCTGATAATGTCCCCAATTTGTTTTTTTGATTTGGGTATCAGTTAATGTGGGTAGTAGGATTCATTTGTATTATTGAGTGCCAAATATTTAGATTCTTTAACGAGTTCTTATCACTACAATAAGATCGGGTTTATAAGACGTCAAAAAAAAATTAAGCATCTTAATATACCGCTTTCTGAGACTTAATTTATAGGATCAAAAAACAAAGCGTCTAATTTAAAGGCATTGTAATAAATTTATAGGATGTTTTTAGACGTCTTAACAAGTTTTTTAGGACACTTTTGATACAAAACATCCAATTAACAAATTTTATAGGACACTATTTGGAAAGTGGCCTATAAAAACGAGTGTCATATAAAAAGATAGGTTTACAGGACTCTTTCTCAAAAGTAACCTTTAAAATTGCTAATGTAATGCTTTTATTAAATGTGTCCTAAAAAACTTGTTAAGACATCCAAAAACGTCCGACCAACTTATTATAACGTCTTTAGATATAACACTTTATTTTTTGTTCGTATAAATTAAATATTATAAAACAGTCTATTATAACACTTAGAAACTAGTGACATCTTATAAACCTAATTTTATTGTAGTGTATGGAGTTCTACATTTTATAACATCTTCATATATCAACAATCTAATGCTGAACAAAAATGAGCTTTTTTTCACTGTTGCAAAGTGATCTTTTTACATGGTTTTGATGTGGCTTAATGTGAACATCAGTTTATATGCACCATTATTAATCCCATAGATCCTAAACATGAACTAGAAAAATCCAACCACAAGGGTGGCGTCTGATTGATTTGAGTTTGGCTCCAAAGGTTAAAAGTGCCTGGAGGTCCACGTTCAAATCCAAAAAGGGAAAAAAATTCTCGTGGCCATGGAGGTTCAAATGCCATGACTCCAGGCTACCTGCAAAGCAGGTGGTCGCCCTAGGATTAATCGGCTCGCATAGCGAGTTGGAATTCTTTCGTTAAGAATTACAAGTATACAGTTGCTTACTATTTACTAAACATCAAACAAACAACGACCCATAAAATTTATTGAAAAAACTGCAGCTTCATGGTGTTCTTGTGATGATCAATTTAGGTGATACAAGGCTTTCGAGATACGTACCTCCAACAGCGAATGCAGTTGGAGCCCCTAAAATCCTTACATTTCTGCATCTTCTGTCATCCAAATTGTATACGTGAACTCTGTTCTCATCCCCCAATACTATATCACGATTGTTGTCATCAACTGAACATACAGGCTTAACAGGATCTATCTCGACTCCATGGATGGAAACCTTGGTCCAAGACTCGCCAACATCGTACTCCTCCATCACCCACAAATCATTACCCACCTGATTAGCAAAAAGAGCAAGTTTCCCACCAAGAACAACCAGCTCGTTGAACATAGCTTTCTTGTTATCAATGGAGTCAGGCAATTCGATTTCGTTGAACTCCTCATTGGCTAAACTAAACGCAACAATTGTCGAAGAGTAACCGGGGATTCTTTGGGTTAACCAGTGAAGGCTCTCGTTGATGAGAACTCCTCTTAGAAGATGGCCGACGGCATGATCGTAAGGAGAGTTATGCACCTTCCTCCATGAATTGTTTCTCAAACTGTAGACGCTTACCAACATGTCGGTGCAATCGAGATTATGCTCGTTATCGGTATCCCAGAAAGAGATCGAGACGACTTTGTAATCGTCCGATGATGAATCGTAACCGAATCCATACATAACAAAACTCTCTCCAAGAGGGAGTGCGAAAGGGGAAATGGGAAGTTCCGAGACCTCCTGTGTGGTTGGATTCATCAAGAAGATCTGGTCATCTTCGTCTTTGGCTAAAACGAGCCCGTTGCAGGAACCCAAGATCTCTTCCCACCTGATCGAAGGTGGCCGGAAACTTATCTCTTTTCCGGTTGCGCACAAGTCATCACTGTCGAGATATGGAACGAGTTCATTTATACTAACTGAGTAGAAAGATTTCATCTCGGAAACGAGAATCAATATACTAGTTTTGTGGTGGTTGTTTAGATCGAGATGGGTTTTGATGAATTCGGGATTGGAAATTAGCGAGCGCCATGGCTTTGACACCGACTTGAAGCGGCCAAGAGATTTTGCCGGCAGGCGGCGGAGTATTGCTTCGATGATCTCGGGTGGAAGGCCTTTGCGAGCAGACATCACCGGCAGCGGTGGAAGCTTTTTGGGTCAATTATAATGACTTGAATATGTAACCCGTTGTAACCCGTTACAATTTTTCAAAATTTTTCTTTAAAATATAATAATTAAACTATGAACTACATACATAATCTATACTATCTTATAAATTAGATTTATCAAAAGTCTTAAAAACAACTTTTAATACACAAAGTATTATATATTTATGTACAAAGTCTTAAAAACAACTCATAATGCATTAAATACTACTACTTTATGCATTCAGTCTTAAAATCTCTTAATTTACAATTAAAATGACATATAATACAAGTTACCAATGCATATTATTATATTTTCTTTTCATGTTTCCAATATATTTTTGACACCTTTCACTCATGTCTTCACCCTCTCATACCTATGTCTTCTCCTCATCCCCCAATGTGAGATTCAAACTGATATTCATCCTGAGTTATTAAAAGATCTTTCATTTATCTTCCATTCAATTGCTCTAGAACTTTCGGTCTTGCTCTCGATCTCTTGATTATTTGCTCTTGGTGTAAATCGAACACATTTGTGGAGTCGTTTAAATATGTTGGATTTTAAATATATTGGATTTTAAATATATTGGATTTTAAACTGTCATACAATTTTTTTTATCGATAGACTGTAATTGGAATCATAACTCTTATTTATTCAAATTGTATTAATATCTAAAGACCAAATATAACTTATATCATCATTAAATCTTTTCTAATAAAACCAGTGAAACTTCAAAATTGTTAAAATTCACGGCTCCCACCGTATTGCCTGAATACACAACTAGTTAATGATTAAAATGTTGTATACTCCAAGTAAGATTTTATCAAAAAAAAGTAATAGAAAAATCTTAAACTTAGAAAACTCTTGCAGATTATTTAAAAATCATAAAATACATGAAACACACATCCTGTGGTTCCATTTTGGGTAGATCGAAAGCAAAACCTCTGAACTTTAGGTCGTCATAATATGTTACTGGTGGGCTCTAAGGGTATGTGTTTCCTATTTTGCCGGCTATTTCGTCATTCACTTAGGGAAGTTCATCTCTAATGATTGAGTGTAAGTCACGTCTTTAATTCTGAATGCACCATGCCATTAAAAAGAAGGAAAATTTGAGGCTGTTATGCCAGTTTGGATGATTAGTAAATGTTTTCTCAAGGCGAAGAGAATAGGAAACGGGTCTTCGATTTCTTTCCACCATTCTAATATATCAAGGTGATGAAAATCATCAACGGTCGTTATCTTCAAGTTCTAATTTTTCGAGTAAAAAAGACTTTATTTATAAATTTATCTTTTCTATTTTTAAAAGTAGCTTTTTTTCATTTGTAATGAGCACATCTTGCTCAATAAATTGGTAGTTTGGCCTAGCATTGTGATTAAGGTGTTATTTGTTTATTGGAACAATTGAAGTTTGGATAGGTTTATTATTCCAATATACTGCAAATCAATCCAAATCTTACAAACCAAACACATGAATGGATTTTAAATTCAATCCAATCCAAATCCCTCCAAATCCAAATCCCTTTTGCAAATCCAAATCCCTCAGAAACATTCCTGCAAACCAAACGCACCCTAAGTTTGTTTGGGTAGAGCGTGCCTAGGATAATTGCGTCGTTGTGCCTAGACTGTGAGGGCTCTCAGCCACATGAATAGTTCAATTTGCTCATCGACGCCTGCCTCTATCATTTTTGTCATTGTAAGTTATCCCATTGGGTACCAACACGAACTTACCTATTTTTATACATTTTTAACTGATAACTGCTAATCTTGGAACATTGATAATACGAATGTTAAGTTTATCACTTTTTTTGTTGTAAACTTTTCATAAATGGGTATATACGTCATAAATTGTCACAAGATCAACAAGTTATCGGTTACAATATATACAAAATAAAAAAAAATAAAAAATTTATTACATTGATTAACAAAAGAAATTCTTCAATCACAAGGGTGGTGTCTGATTGGTTTGAGTGTGGACTCCAAAAATCAAAAGTGACTAGAGGTCTCAGGTTCAAATCCAAGGAGAAATAAAAACCCCCTTATGATCATGGAGGTTCAAATGCGATGATTTTCGGCTACCTGCCTGGAAATTAAAAAAGAATTCTTCATTAAATTGGGTGTTTGAGATTGCTTATAAAAGCTGTTTTTTAACTTATTTCAGTCTGACACCGGTGATAAGCTGTTTTCTGGTGTTTGGATAAGAATAAAAAAAACTGCTTATACCGGTGCCAAACCGGTAATAAGCTGTTTTTGATAAGTTAATCCTTCATGACTTATGAAAAACTGCTTATTACTATTTTACAATTTTAACCCTGTTTTATTTAATCACGATTTAATACCACATAAGTTAATAAACACTTTTATAATAAAACATAAGTTGTTTTAATTAAGCAATCCCAAACACCCCTAAATAAGAAAAATCAGCCTCTGTTGTGTTTTGTTTGTATAAGCATATCTTCTTGTAGCAAAAACATGTGTGTCGAAAGTCTAATTTGCCCTCCTACGAAAACTTGAAAGACGGAGTTTGACCCCAACCTTGTTACAGTCTCTTCCTTATCTTCGTGGAGGCAGAGCTAGCTAGCCGTTTCAACCTGCTTCACTCTTTCACTACGTTCTGCAGAACCCACCTCGTACGCTTTCTCTACCCTTCATTTCTCTTGCTCATAACTACATCTTCTTACTTTCTTCTCTGTCTGTGTCCCATTTGTGGTGTCTGAATCTATTTGTTTTTATGCAGTAAGCTTTGGATTTGTACCGGTTTGAATCGTTTTGGGTAATGCTTTATGTGTCATGAAATGTCCTTCGTTTAGTTGTTTTTCTTGGTTTAGCTTTAATTGTCATGGTCTTGCTTTGCACACCAAGTGTTTGTGAATAAGTGTAGCCCAATTTCATTACTATGCATGCTCAACTTATTTACACGGCTGCTTAAAAGAATTTAATCGATTATTCCCCCAGTTCCCAAAAGGAGAAGTAGTTTTGTTTTTTTGACACTTCCCCTGGTATTTTCCAAATACAAAACTGATATGGGTTTTGATGCAAAATTTAGCACCAACGCCATATAATTCTTAGTATCTGACTGAAGTACACCATAGATAGGTACTCCATGTGACTTCAATAGTCCACGTCTAGCTGTCATTACATGGGAATGTTGGGGAGAAATTACTGTTTGCCTTAACAAGTTACAACGCCAATACCAAACAAGTGCGACAAACAAACAATCAACCATCAAAATGGAACAAAACGGATAGCAAAAGATACAACTGGTCATGATAAACAATATGGAAAACAAGCTATGCAACACCAAACATATAACATAGTTCCACAGCCTTTCGATTGTGCCCAAGATGATGTATATTATCACAAACTACAACAAAAATGCTTACCATTCGTTATAAGGAACATGAATAATAGCCAAAACAACCTACTACTTCGAATTTGAAGAGAGGAGAACAAGCCAAAATATATCTTATTTGTTCTAAACTAATGAGTCCTAAAATCCGATTTTATCCCCTTTGATGTGCGAATATGATCTATGGGCGAGTTGGAAAGTTGCTTGCAAGTCGCCTGATCTTTCAAATCTCAGCTGAAACCCTTATGATGTGATAGTTCAAAGTCGCCTACAAGTCGGAGTGTGCGACTACCCAAGTCACAAGCAACTTGCCTGCATGTTACAACAAATGTACCTAGAGTTTGACACCCGAGGAACTCATTTGGATGTGAGTTCACAAGTCATGTGTGAGTCGCCTGAAGCGTGCTAAGTGAGTATCACAAAATTCAACAGGGAACAAAGGGGGTAGTTTTTTGGTTGGCCCAAGTGATTGGACTTGGAATTCACTTGAGTAACCCTTTTCCATGTTCACATTTCTTTTACTCTTTGTTTTCATGGATTGGTGTTACCACTTTAAGCTTTATTGAAGCTGTCCAAGTGGGTGTGTCATAAGGGTGTAAATTTGCTGTCCATAAGAGTGTGAAATTATCATAATGTTATGCTCAAATATCTAATGAGGTGTAAATGTTACTTGAGCTTTGTTCATATATGTTTATTCATTAAAGTATTTCACATGAAAATACTGGTATTATAACAGGGTTACCTCTCTTCTTGGTTAAAACATGGTTACCTCTTTGTTTTCATGGATTGGTGTTACCACTTTAAGCTTTATTGAAGCCTGTCCAAATGGGTTTGTCATAAGGGTGTAAATTTACTGTCCATAAGAGTGTGAAATTATCATAATGTTATGCTCAAATATCTAATGAGGTGTAAAATGTTACTTGAGCTTTGTTCATATATGTTTATTCATTAAAGTATTTCACATGAAAATACTGGTATTATAACATGGTTACCTCCCTTCTTGGTTAAAACATGTTGCTGAACTCGAGTATAAAAAGTTTCAACTCCATATGTTTTTCATATGCTGATTTTAGGGTAAGTTTTTATCACCTTGCAAAAGTTTTGATGCACCGAAGCATTTCATTCCATGAAATGCTTTACTATGCGTATATGTGTTTGCTGTTGGAGTTTCCCATCTTGTTCTTGTCGCTAATATGTTGGCCACCTGGGATTATAATTGTAACAATTGTTCATTTTATGCGCTTCAGCAATCACTCATCAGGATTAAAGGAAACAAAAAGCTTATGTTGCTTTTCCATGAAAAAACCATATCTTCATTATTCACGAGGGGTATTTTGGGGTTAGCCGTACTATGAATGAGGCTGATCTTAGTTGGTATGGGTATCATGTGAATTATCTAGAATCAAGTCAATTTTGGGATGGTAGGGAACTGCTATGCTGTCCACCTCCAAATAAAAGGCCGCAATGTGCTACATTAAGCTATTTGGAAGGCGTCTTTTGAAATTAAGAATCACTTACCTTTCAAACATGTTGGTAATTAGGTCTCTGGGTACACCACTAGCACTTCTTTTGAGGGTACACAAGTAGAAACTAAGAATTGAGAAAATTGCACCAAGCTGAATCCATTCTACGCTTTTTCTGAAACCCAAATTTCAGTTCAGTTTATGTTGCTGACAACATGTGCAGTCTGAAAACTGATTGGAACCAAACATTTACTTTATATATATATATATATATATATATTACCTGTCGTATAATTGCGAACAACAAGATTGATAAATATGCACATTTATAGTTATTACAAATATCTTGTCTTCAACATAGATGATATTTTCAATTGTTGAGATATTTAGACGTCTATAATTGTTTTCTGCATGTTATGTTGAGACAACAAAAAAAAATTCCAGAACATCATATACTAGCTCAACTTATGTAACTTTCAGCAACATTTGTACCAACATAAATTACAAAAAAGGAACTCAAATCTAATTAATGTATCAGCCAGGATGAGCTTGAGAAGACATTCAATGAACACTGTTGAAAACCAAAACTAATTAGACAACTTAAAAATGACAACTTAAGCTACATAAATCGGTAGGTTTGGTTTTAGAAAGATAGGAGACTAAATCTTGCGTTGTGGTTCTGGTTTGCTCAGAAACTGAACTGCAAATGTACACATTCATGTTAAATCTCTTCAGCATTTCTAACAAAGGGAGAATACAATTGTTTTTGTGCATCGACTTGATGAACACATGAAAAGAATAGAGTATCCACATTGGGCCATCTTATAAGGATTAAGGAATGCCCTTTTTAGACAGCAATGAAATCCCCAAAGTTCAATATGTATGACTCAATAGCTTCCATACGTATAGATCAAGTGATGGAATGACCGTGCGATATCTTACCTTCATTGCACATTCAAACAGCAATATTTGTGGTATGAGATCTAGAGAACCTAGTTGAATTTTCTGCCCAAATGTTTTCATTTCCGTTTTTGTCAATCAGTTTCTCTAATGGCAATTCAGTAGCATTAATTATTCACATGAATGCCATAAAAATATATCCTTAATAATTACAATGCCTAGATAGGATTTTTATTCCACTAATAGTGTTTAATCTGAGCATAAATATGTGACTCTTTTTGTGTCTTACTTCTCTTTTTATTGATTGATATTAATGTTTTTGCGTCATGTTGCCAGCCTCGTGAAGTTTGTTGTGCAATCTTCAATGCTAGTGAACTCTGCACATGATGCTCTTTGAAGGTAATCATTTTTTATGCAAACAGTTACTTAAGCTACCTGGAGAGTGAGAAGTTTGCTCATCAGCAGGTCATTTACCTGGGGATGGTCATGTTATTTCTCCTACTATACATTCTAAGCAGTTGATACTTTTTGTTTACCGTTTCACTGTTTCATCTCACTTACAGATATCTCTTTGGACATAGTGGATGCTCTAGTGTGCATGCATACTCTTTCATAACATCCATTAGAAATTCATGTAAGTAATGGTTAAGAACTGAATTAGTTTTCATTTACTATGATAAATCGATGGTTAAGAACTGTGATGTGGTTGGTTTGATTTCATCAGATACATGGTCAAGGAAGTTTTTTGTGTAGTTGTTTTGTCAAGGGAGGTATGCAATCCTTATGTGACACCTTCTGGGTGTTCAGACCTGAAGTTTCTCTTTCATTGCATCTAGCTAGTAAAAAGAGCAGAAAGATATTGCTGAGGAAATCATTGACTAGATCTTGTAGCAGAAGCCCTTCACCTCATATTTTTGGGTCGTGGATTGTGGAGACATGGTTCCCTGGACAACCTTTGATTTCTGCTCGAGCTAGAGGTATTGATTCATATGGCAGTTTTTCTATATATTAAAACTTAGTGGTCAATATGTTTCTGAACACTCAAATGCTTCCAGTGATTTGACAGATGAAGGAAAAAATTTGGAAAATACTGGAAGTGACTTTTTGGTCTCAAAACAATTATTGGGTGATCTGGATTTTGAGGAGGACTTTGGTTCTGAAGATATAACCTGTGCAACTGAGAAGGGCACAGGTCTTTATGGACCATTCAGCAGAATTTACCAGCCTGTAGAGGAACCCTGGCTACTTGAATCTTCTGACTTTGATCATTTTGTTAGAGAAACAGATTCTTCAAGTGGTTTAACAGGTGAAGGCAATATCTCGGATGACCTTATTGTTGATGCTACAGATTCCAACTCTTTGAGTCAATCTATACATAGCCTAGAGAATAAAGCGAGTTCTCTAAATAATAAGAGTCTAAAACGACTTATCACTGAAAGAGAGTACCCTGTTGAGGAGCCTTGGTTATCTATTGAGGTTTCCAGGGATGATGTCTCTGTAGAAAACAATGTGGAAAACCTGGATCCCCAAGGCCTGCAAATTGCAGAAATATTATCTCTTGATAAACTGGGTCGGAGATCTGTTGGAAATGAAAAAGAAAATCAGAGACCTCTTGATGAACTCGAAGAAGTTCCCAAATTCTTTTTTGATGATGAGGGTACTGTAGGTACGCGGGAGGTATCTGTTGATACGGTTATATTGATAAACTCTTCTTTGTGTACCATGCAAAGGGTTGCTGTAATGGAAGATGAAGAATTGGTTGAAATATTACTGGAACCTATCAAAAATAATGTGCAATGTGATAGTGTATATATAGGAGTAGTCACAAAACTGGTTCCTCACATGAGTGGTGCATTTGTAAACATTGGGCACTCCAGGGCTTCTCTTGTGGAAATAAGGCATAATGTAGAGCCATTTATATTTCCTCCATTTGGCCATCACAAAGAGCACAGATCTGTAGATGGCTCTTTGCTTGTTGAGCTTCTAGAGAATCCAAGGACTAATGAGACCAAACACAAATCAGAAGAAGTGGAAGTTATTGATAACATAGAGGATCATGATATTATCCATGATCCAGATCAAAATCATCATGATGATTTTGGAGAGCAGGACATGGATGAGGAATTTGATGTAACAGAAGACTTCCCAGGAAACGCCAACGGTGGTGTAGTGAGTTCTGTGTTATACATTAATGGTGAGAGGAATATATTTCAACCAATTGGAAGTTCTCATGATTCACAGCGTCAAACCATGACTGACATTACTGTCAGCATGAAAAGATCTAACAATGCTGACCATCAACTTCAAGAAATGGAAAGTAACAAGGGTTCATGCGCAAGTGGAAGTAAATGGGCCCAAGTTCAGAAAGGCACTAAAATAATTGTACAGGTCGTCAAAGAGGGATTGGGTAGCAAAGGCCCAACATTGACTGCTTATCCAAAGTTAAGGAGCCGATTCTGGGTATGTCTATATTTCGAATATGCTCATGCCCTTTAATTTTGCCAGTCCATGCTTCAGGACCTTAATCTCATTCTTTAAAAAAGGAATTTTAAATGATGTGCAGATTCTGTTGACTCGTTGCAATAGAATTGGAATTTCCAAGAAAATTTCTGGTGTGGAGAGGACTCGCTTACGAGTCATAGCAAAGACTTTGCAGCCTCCTGGCTTTGGTCTTACCGTAAGGACTGTTGCTGCTGGTCATACCTTGGACGAACTGCAGAAGGACCTGGATGGCTTGCTTTCAATGTGGAAAGGTATTACTGAACAAGCAACATCCGCAGCCCTTGCAGCAGATGAAGGTGTGGAAGGTGCAATTCCTGTTATGTTACATAGAGCAATGGGGCAAACACTATCTGTTGTCCAGGACTATTTTAATGACAAGGTAAAAATGGGATAATTTTTGCTTGCACTTGGTTCATCCTCACCACGTTTGTGCTTTACTGTTAGAAGCTTTCTTATTAGATATCACTTCAAATATGTATTAATACTCTATTGGGCTGTCCTCAGGTGAAGAAGATGGTAGTTGATTCTCCAAGAATATATCATGAGGTATGACATGGGCAATGTAATCAAAATATGTCTGTGGATAGTAGTTATTTAGCATTGTTATTATTTTTGTCTACTCTTGTGTGTATATTTATATCTTTTTGAAATGTTGAAGGTTCAAAAATAAATACATAATTTTGTTCTATTATCTTTCTAAATGGAAGTCCACAGGATACCTTTATTTTCAGCTCGTCCTCCTTACCTTCTACATCTATATAGACACCAAAAACAATGTGAACAGCTTGTAGTAGAAAGGTCAGATTGTGAAAAATAAGAGTGCATGAGACTCTTCTACTATGGTTATCCTCTTAACACTAAGATTTTGGTCTGCTTCACGAATCAGCTAGGGTAGAATACGGACCCTTTCCCTTGCTAAAGTTATTTTGTTGGACTAGTCCATTTTTGTAGATTCTGGTTGCATAAACCATAAAAGAAAGCCACGATGATAGTTAACAGCTACACACGTTTCTTCAGTCTCTTTGCTTGGTGTTTACTTCAACCTGGTCATATTTGAATGCCGACATATAGTCATTTCTTTTAAATGCAATCTGAACTTTACTTCCATCGTTTATCAGCGTCTTAATCTTCACTTCTCCTGTGAATTGCGTTCAGGTTACAAACTATCTTCAGGAAATAGCTCCTGATCTCTGCGATCGTGTTGAATTATACAACAAAAAGAATCCAATCTTTGATGAGTACAACATTGAGGAAGAATTGAACAACATGCTAAGTAAAAGGTGAGAAGCAGTAAGGAAACCACTGCGCTGATGATTGTCATATTTTTAGAGGATATGTCGTGTTGTTTCATCTCTTTTGTGGCTATCCGATTGTACATAACATGTTAAACTAACATAATCAGGCAAGTCCCAAGACTGCTATAAATTAGTCTTACATGCCAGCCTACTTATAAAATACACCCAAAGAATTGGTTAAGTAATTGTCAAGAAGGCTTGTTTAACCCAATAAACGTATGAGTAAGCATAAGCATCAAGGGCAATCAATCTTGAGGGTAACTGGGTGCTTGAAACTGTACAAATATACTTAAATAATCACAGGATCGCTTATATTGAAAAATCAGGGTTGCGTTTAGTGCTATCTTCAGCACATCTCATCTATTCCTTTCTATTCCCTGAGCAAAAGCTCTGTAGCTGTCTTCTAGTGTGAGGAATATTCTTAAATTTCATATTGCCTCTCATTGGACCAATGATGCAACCTGTTGTTTCCTATTTTTTGACATGTTGGGCAAGGCAAGAGGATGGGAACGGCTGTATTTGTAAATAATCTGATCAAGCCTTCTATGATTTAATTGGTTGCTTGTCCATGGATCTTAATGCTTTCCGTCTAAAATTCATTGCACAAACTTACTTCTGATTTACCTAAGGTGAAATTACACCGAAGAAATAAGCAAATATGAAAAACCACCACTTAGTTCCACACTGGAAGGCAGAGAATTGATAGTCTCTAGAATTTTCAAGCCATATAAGTTGACTAGAACTTTTTATGTAATATCCACTTCTTCTATCCTTTTGTTCGTTTTTTTGCCAGAGTACACAAGGTATTGCCTCAGTGAATAAATAATAAATTGGAAAACTGAAGTGAAGTTGGAAGAGAAAGCCATTATCCATGTGAACTTTGTTGTTAATTTCGTATATTAGTGTTTCTAATGGGACCGAAAATCTCCACTTCTTACCTTGAGCATATTTTTTGCTGCCTGATTTGCATAAATTTTTGCTAAGTTCGATGGGAGTTAAACACACCTTTTGTTTTGTAGGGTGCCACTCTCTAATGGAGGTTATTTAGTAATTGAACAAACTGAGGCTTTGGTCTCTATTGATGTGAATGGAGGGCAGTGTATGCTTGGTCATGGAACTTCACAGGACAAAGCCATCCTAGAAGTCAATCTTGTAGCTGCTAAACAAGTATGTTGAGGCCAATCTTGCCAGCTTTTCATACTGTGTAGGAGATCACACACACACACACACACACATAAATAGATATGAATATATATGTATGTATGTGTCTGTGTATATCATGTCATATAGGTCCCCTAAAATGTATGGCAATAACATGTGTTATTTAATTTACTGGAGAAGTGTCGGACAGGGGTCCATTATCAATGCCAAGCAGTCTCGGTTTGGCACTTCCTTTTATGATTCTTCTTTCTTAAGATATATCTTTATCCTTATGGTTAAAGCAGTGGAAAGGACCCATCAGAATTATTGATTATTATTTCTGTGTTGGGGATAAGCATGTATTATTGTTGATTGTAGAGGTTCATATTATTAGCATATCTTACCCCTTCAAGTGTTTTTCTTCTTTTTCTAGTCAGAAACAGCCAAAATTTTGGTTGTGGACTGTGTGGTGAAGGCCTTGTTATGGTCGACTGCAGTGATCTAATATGGTTTTCAACCCAAAAGTACATTTTTCTCACTAAATGCTAAAGGTTGATTTCCAACTATTTCAGATTGCTAGGGAATTACGATTGAGAGATATTGGTGGCATTATTGTGGTCGATTTCATTGATATGTCGGATGATTGTAAGTCTCTCTCTCCCTCTAGCTGTGTATGCTTGTGTGCGTGCTTTTGTTCAGAAATTCTCAAACAAGAAAGCCGGTATCGCATGCTTATTGCCTAAGTGGCTAAAATTATGAGCATCTTCTTAAGGCATGTAGTGAACAGGTCAGTGGTTCATGATCTTTCAGAATTAAAAACAAATTGTTGTATTCAACATATACTAGTGATATATGTGTTAGGTGGTTGAGCTCACCTTGTTGCTTGTGGACTTGTAATTATGGATTCTATTCATAAATACTATGATAGATGTTTCCTGCTGCTACTTCAGAAACTTTTCTTTCAACTGCTCCTCTGATCTAGTTATCATTCTTGTAGTTGTAGAAAAAATTGCGTTATGTATTAGATATAACTGTGTGTGTGTATCGTGTATTATAATAATTAGGATTTATAACATTTTGTTTTTCTTAATTTTTTTGAGATTTGTTATTTTGTTCCCTTAAAATCAGGAAAGTTTGTTGTGTATAGGTGATACATACAGAGATTTGTGATACTAAAAAATGATATCAATAAGAAATACATTTCTCAACATGGTATCATAGCTCTCTTGATCCCAACTCCTCATCTGCCGGTAGTCTTCTTCCAGTAGCCTTCCAGCAACCTCGGCTGCTGTTACTCCCATCTCCATCAACAATTTTCTTGCCGTCATTCCTATCCTCAACGCCTTATGCTTCATCTGCAACCTACTGTTGACTGCCACTATCTAGACGCGTCTCTAACCTCACATCATAAGTGAAGACCCGAAAACTTCGTTTTGCTTCAAGGCCTTATGTTGGATCCAACAAAAACTAATAATCTTTGATGCACCGCAAGAATCCTTAGTTAGAATTAGAATGGGATTCCATTCACAGCCAATTGTCACTGTCAATATCTCTTCCATTTTTGTACTTGATTGTTGTTCATTATGAGCACAACAACCAAGACCTCCTCTCCATCCTTGGGAATCCGATCCAGATTCGAGCCAAAGACGACAAATTCTTCTTCTTAATCATCAAGAATTCACCCCTTCGTATCACATGCCACTGACTTAATGGCCATAACTACCTACAGTGGTGTCAGTAGTCATAGTTCATTCATATTTACGTCTTTGGTAGAGGAAATGATGATTATCTAACTGGAAAGGTTGTTACCCCCAAAGAAACTGATTCCACATACAAATGAAAGTCAGCAAACCATAGGGTCGTGTCATGGTTGATCAATTTTATGGGTCTGGAAACTGGAGAGAATTTTCTTCTCGACAAGACTGCACTAGAGATATGAGATATGACTCTTTAAACTTGCTCCAATTCTAAAAATACACCAGAACTCTTTGGAGAGAATTTTCTTCTCTAGAAGATCGCACTAGATATATGGGATACAACTCATAATATGATGAAACCTACTCCCGTTAGAAAAACGCATCTGAAATCTTTAAGATTGAAACTGAACTCTTTGAGCTTGGAATCAAGTGTTACCCAGATTCACAACTTCTCGGCATGTTTGAGATGATACCTGGAAATTGGTTGAGGACGCTGCTCTACAAAAAGGTTAAAGATTGTTGATTGAAAAGGACAAGCAGATGCTTATTAGGCCTTAACAAGGACCTTGACGAGGTGAGGGGGAAATTACAAGTATCAAATCGCTTCCTACTATTTGAGAAGTAGTTTTTGAGGTTTGAAGAGAATGAAACAGAAGGAAACTGAAGATGTTCGAACACACAAGTGTCTCAATCTTGGTTAAACGATGATTACTCATAATTTGACCCAAAACCATAAACCACGGAAGACCTTGGTGTGAGCACTACAGGAAACCTGGACACCAATACTTCAGAGGGAAATCTCCTTGCAAGAGAGCAAATTTAGACACTGCAACCCAGGCAAGTCTTTCTTTCTCCTAAACCTATCTCATCCTTAGTTGAATCACATTTCAGATGTTGAATCATCAAGGTGGTGCCTCATGTTTTTGCTGCAAAACTCGATAAATTTGTGCCATAGATCAGATGGAAGTATTGACATGTTCAAAGCAAGGTTGGTGGCCAAGAATCCACTCAATCATAAGGTATTGATTATCAGGAGACCTTTGCTCATGTCACCACTAAAGTCAATAATATATGAGTATCATTACCACTTGATGAAATTTGTGACTGGTCAATATTAGTTAGATGTGAAGAAAACCTTTTTAAATGATGATCTAGAAGAGGATGTTTACATGGAAATTCCTCTAGGATTGAAAAATCTTCCAATGGTAGATTAGTGTGTAAACCACCATATGGCCCAAAAACAGTCTCCCCGGGCTTGGTCAAGTTGTGAGGTACAAATATACTTGGTATTAGACCATACTCTATTTGTGAAGTTTTCTGGAAAAGGAAAGCTAGTCATTCTTATCGTCTATGTAGATGGCATCATCTCAAGGAACTTCTTACATTTGAATTTGAGATCAAAGATCTAGGACTACTCAAAGATTAGTTGGAAAAATGATCTATCTTTTGCACACTAGATTTGACATTGCAATTTTTGTTGGAGAAAGGGCCTGTTTGATAATTTTTATGATTAAGCGATGTCTAGATTAAGATTTTCTCTCTCGATTAAAAAGCTCTCTGGAGTAAGAGACTGTATATGGATGGATTAAGCGCTAAGTGTAGAATGGTCATTTGTTAAGTGTTCTGAATGTTTCTGAAAGATAAAATGCTCTTAATAGAAGTCTGTTTTACAATGTTCTTAATGGACAATTTTTCAATCAATTTTATAAGTTGAAGAAGAAATTATGCAAAAAGATTTAAGTTATTTATCGTCGTTATCTTTGCCTTTTCATTATTTTATCATGTTAAGTAAATCAATAGTTTAAAGAACATCTTTATTTTTGGGTTGTCAAAAGAGTGCAACAATTTTTTTTTCTGGGAAAATAAATTTTCAAATTAATCTATTTACCAATAACAATTACTAAAAACTTATGAGAAATAAAGTTTTCTCGGTTTTATTAGATTTTTATTTTCAAGTTTTAGTTAATGATAAAATTATAATCAAGTTTATAAAATGAATATCTTGAAGAAAAGGAAAAAGAGAATGAAAACAACAAATGGCTTTTTTATTTTGTTTGTTAAGTACACACTTATCCCCCAATATTGATATGGTCTAATGTAACACCCCATACTTCGCATATAACATATATTTCATATAAAAGAAATATAGATTACACCACATAAGGTCCCAATAGTACAAGGATTTAATATCTACAAAATTTACATCTGAAAAATTCCAAAAGAATATCCCTGTACTACACATGTATATCAACATGTATCTTCAAAATATAACAAGCAACGGGCTGATCTTCAAAAGGTAGATAAAACATATAAGGAAAATAATTATATTTTCCCTTTCCCCTTAATATCACGAGACCCCGCTGCTCCTGCAATGCACATTTTCAAAGTAAAATGAGGGTTAGACCGGAAGGTCTAGTGACAAAATTCCTTCTTTGCAATTACAGGGTGAAGATCACCAAATCCTGTTTTAACTATCTTTTGCAAATAAATAATTAAATTTCAGGAAAAAGATGCAAATCTGCTTGTTACTCAAATTATAAAACAAACAGACTCATAATACATAAACATATTCCCCGAAATTTGCATCTCTTAACAGAATACCAAGTTATAAAATTCCTCTGGCTCGGAGCTCCTCTGTCTCTTAAGGAACAAAGCTCTTCTCTTAAACCAGTCCCTCTAGTTGATCAGAGCTTCTGCTCTTACCAACTAGAGCCTCTGTACTCCCTCCTAAATATACAAGTCTAATCTTAACCAGAGACCCCTCTGGACAACCAGAGCCTCTGGTCCAAAAGATGAACATTTGATTTTTAAAGAAAAGAATAGTAAAACGATAACCAGAGCTCCTCCGGTTCTCTACTTTACTTATAAAAGATATTTAAAAAAAATTTGATTTAGAAAAGATTTAGTTTTAAAAGACAAAGTTCAGCTACAGAGCTCAGATACAGAACTCAAACGCATAATGCGTACATACCACTTCCATGATACAGAGCCTTTGTATAGTATATACAAAGCCTCTAGGTCATGAAACCCCAAAAATACTTGAGAAGTATTCCACACGACCAGAGGTCCTCTGATCCATCATAAAGACCAACCAGAGCCCCTCTGTATCTTTTCAAAGTTATTTAAAAATCCATTTGGAATCATAAGCAATTGATATCTCTGGTTATAAATCGTTTTCCCCTTCTCAATAACATCAATGTAATCATTTCAAAAAGAACAGTTCCTCTAAATCATCAAGTCATAAAGAAATGCTGATTTAGAATTATTGCATCTTATGGTGATACTAACAAGAGTTATAATATTAATCACACCCACAAATGCCACCCTTATATCCATATGTACACCTCTCCTTGATATGCCACCCCTATTCCCTCTTTAAGACAAGGTTTCTTCTTAGAACAGAGTTATGTCACCACGTCTGGAAATACCCAGTTCCATACCAGAACAGACTTATGTCACCACGTATGGGGGAACTATTTTTCAAAACAAAGTTTCTTACCAGAACGGACTTATGTCACCACGTCTGGAAGAAACATTTCTCAAAACAGAGTTTCATACSAGAACAAACTTATGTCACCACGTCTGGAAGAAACATTTCTCAAAACAGAGTTTCATACCAGAACAGACTTATGTCACCACGTCTGGAAGAAACAATAGTATCTTTTCCCAATTCACAAAAAGATATAAAATACTCTTTTTACAAAATATAACAGTTTAAAACTGTTTAAGCACCTTTGTGATTTACCACCATTTTAACACACTAGTATTGGTCAATAAACCCCTTCACCGGTTAACTCTTATCCAGACAACACTATCCGGACAACACTTAACCGGACACTCCTACCCGGACAACACTTTAAAGAGAATCAAACAAGCACAATGATCACACCCTCATCGGACATCAAGTGTCGGGGCACACCCTCATTGGATATCAAGTGTCCGGATACA